AGCCGCAAGCCCTAAACCCCAAACTGCCTAAACCCTTTAGCCTTTAGCCCTTTAAGCTTGTAGCCGTCAGCCTTCTAGCCTCATCTTTGCCTTTCGCCTTTAGCCGCTTAGCCTTTAGGCCTTTAGGTTTTGGGCTTTGGCATCGTTGGCTTTATGTTTAGCCGAGCCTAGCCGCTAAACCCTAAACCCCGGGACCCTAAGCCCCTAAGCCGGCTAAGGCCTAAGGCCGAAGGCTTCTGAACTCCTACACCTAGCCTACGCTACGCAGCCCCTAATAAACCCCGCCAAGCAGCCGAGGTGGTGCACTGCAACAAGGCAATCCATCGATCGCCGCTTCTTGCCGCCCTGGTGATCCTGGACATGGAGCCGACCCTCCAGGAGAGCTTGGAGGGCATGCTCAAGAACATCGCGGCCATGAAGCCCATTTGGCCGGGCTGGACGAATGCACGAATTCGTGGACAAGAAGGAAACTTGCATGAAGCCTTGGACTGGGCCAAGCGGTGTCTGGAGATCTTGCGAGCGAAACCCAGTAGCACCAGCACCAGGTCCAAAGGCTTTTCCGCGGCGCCTGATGAGACCAGCAAAGCAAGCGTGAAAGGCCAAGGCGGCAAAGGCCAAGGCGGCAANNGGCGGCAAAGTCGCTGTGAAGAGCGGGTCTCCTGTGTTGCCGCCTCCCCCCGTGCAAGTGAAGAAGATGCCCACTTCGGCTGCCAGCCAGGTTCATTCGGCTGCCAGCCAGGTTCATTCGGCTGCCAGCCAGGGGATGGCGCAACCTGTGAGCCCTGCAGCCCTGGGAAAACAAGCGCCTGTCACGCCCCCAAAAACTTTGCCCTCCTCGCCACCGCCACGCAACAGCTCCAAGCCGGACCAGCACTTCAAGGAGAAGAAAGAGGAAGAGGAGCCTGGCAGCAGCTCCGCCAAGCCACCTGCCAAAGCCGACAACGAGGCGGCAGACAGAGCGGCAGGGGCCAAGAAGAGGACCAAGGAGGAGGAGGCAGCGCTTCAGAGGGCGACTCCGGCTGACAGCCAGGAAGAAGCCAACAAGGCCCAGCGGCCGAAGCCTTCGCAAGCGAGGCGGGAGGAGCTGCTGGCCGAGCTGCGTGCGATGGACCAGCAGCTCCTCGTTGAGGACTTCGTGGAGCGCTCGGGACTGGTCAGCGTTTCGGCGCTGACCAGTGATGGCCACACGGTGCTTCATCGCCTCGTGGAGGCGATCCGCACGGAGGAGCTCAGCGGCGACTTCTGCTCGCGGGTCGTGGACGCCTCGCCCGATTTGTTCCTCAACAAGCTGTCCGCAGGCGGACAGCCTTCAGGGGTGGCTCCTTTGCACATGCTCTGCGGTGCAGGCAAGGACCGCTCTGAGGTCCGCTGCGTGGTGCTTCGCAAGCTGGCCTCTCGCCAGGCGGACCTGGAGATCAGGGACGCGCGTGGCGCCACGCCCTTGCTGCGGGCGGC